AAGAAGAAGAAGAAGAAGAAGTAGCATAGAACAGAGTTGTGAAAGAGAATGTTTCCAGGAGGAAATTTTTCAGGAGAACTGATTTGGGGGCCTGGTGGAGAGGCCTTTTCAAAAAGGGAATAGCATATCCCATAAACAGGAGTGTGAAACATCAAGCTGTTTGTTGTGCTGGTCTTGTTTCCTTGTGTTTTATTTTTTTTTAACAAGATTTATTTATTTGGCCGGCGCTGCTGCTCACTAGGCTAATCCTTCACCTGTGGCGCCGGCACACTGGGTTCTAGTCCCAGTTGGGGCGCCGGATTCTTTCCCGGTTGCCCCCTTCCAGTCCAGCTCTCTGCTGTGGCCCGTGGAGGATAGCCCAAGTACTTGGGCCCTGCACCCCATGGGAGACCAGGAGAAGCACCTGGCTCCTGGCTTCAGATCAGCGCAGTGCGCCGGCCGCAGTGCGCAGGCCGCAGCGGCCATTGGAGGGTGAACCAATGGCAAAGGAAGACCTTTCTCTCTGTCTCTCTCTCTCACTGTCCACTCTGCCTGTCAAAAAAAAAAAATTATTTATTTAACTCAAAAGTCAGAGTTACACTGAGAGAGGAGAGGCAGAGAGAGAGCAAAGTCTTCTATCCGCTGGTTCACTCCCCAAGTGGTCACAATGGCCGGAGCTGTGCTGATCCAAAGCCAGGAGCCAGGAGCTTCTTCAGGGTCTCCCACACGGGTGCAGGGGCCCAAGGACTTGGGCCATCTTCTACTGCTTTTCCAGGCCATAGCAGAGAACTGGATTGGAAGTAGAGCAGCTGGGTCTCGAACCAGCGCCCCTATGGGATGCCAGCACTGGAGGCGGCAGCTTTACCCACTACGCTACAGCACCAGCTCCTTCCTTGTGTTTTATGAAGAGAGATTAGGAAGAATTTTGACAGATCCAGGATCTGTAAACAATAAAAAACGTGGTCAACCAGACCTAGGATCTCCATCTTTGTCTTGCAGGCAATGGAAGAAATGTGATCAAGCTTCTGTTTTTAGAAAGTTTATTTGAGGATGGTGAGTTGGAGTCTGGAAGCCGAGAATACATGAAGAAGATTGTTGCAAACTCAATGATGTCTACACTAATATAAAGGTAAGTGGCTGGGCAGGGTGATATGTAGTTAGATACTTAGATGAAACACAACAGAGTTGGTAACTAATAGATGAACATGATGAGTAAGATGGAGGAATTAAAAATATTTCGCAAGTTACTGATTTATCAAACAAGGTGCCATTAATCAGAGAAGGAATAACAAGTAACTAGGTGAAATGAAAGGGCAATAATGATCTATGTTTTTAGCCTGTGTTGTGTGTGAAGTGTTTGCGAGACATCCTGTAAATCAAGGTTTCCTGTGCATTGGAAACCAGTAGCAGCTTCCCACGAAACTCCCCAGCTGAGAGCTGCTCATGTGCTTAGGTATCTGTAGGAGCATCGAAGCAAAGCAGAATTGTTTCAGGAAGAGAGGAGCACTGGACAGTGTCAAGCATACAAACGAGGCAAGAAGCAGGGATTGAATTTGGTAAATAGGGTGTCCCCAACAAGAATAGCTTCAGTTGAATGGTAAGCAATAGTAAGAAACCAAAGGAGAACATGTTTGGAAGAAAAGAGAGGTGGCATGCACTATTTTTACATTTTTATGGAGTGCAGTACGATATTTCAACTTCAGTATTACAGTGCAATATTCCCACTTCCTGACCCATGTACACAATGTAAACAATTCAAACCAGGCAGCCACTCTTCCCATTTCCTTATTTTTCCATTGTCTTTGGAATTTTAACATTTATCTTTTTGTTATTAGCTTCTAATCTAATTGCCATGTGCTTAGAATATATAGTCTATGAGGTCCTCCAAAATTTCCTGGGAAATGGAATTAAAAGATAAGTTTATTTGGGTGCAGAAAATGTTTGGAAATCCATGCATAGTTTTTTCATAACACATTTTCCATGAGCTCTTTGGAGACCCCTCATACATGATACCTGTCCTTGATATTTGTGTAGATTTGCTCTATGCATCATAACCCATCTATGCTCAAGAAGGAAATACACCTTTCAATGTGGGATGCAGAAGCTAGCAACATCAGAAACCCCCAATTTCTCAAGAGTGTCTTTTCCTTGTCTCCATAGGACTGCTTCCCCTAGCACCCTGGCTGTCTCTCAGAACATTTCTTACCTGTCTCCTTTTTTTCCCCCTAAGTTTTATTTATTTACTTCAGAGGCAGTATGACAGAGACAAAGATATCTCCCATTTGTTGGCTCAGTTCCCAAATGCCCCCAACAAGTCAAAGCTAGGATCCCAGAATTCAATCTGAGTTTCCCACATGGGTGGTAGGGACCCAAGACTTGAACCATCATCCGCTGCCTCCCAAAGGTGCGCGTTAGCAGGAAAGCTGGATAGGAAGCAAAGCAGAGGCAGGCATCCCAAGCAGCAGTTTAACTGTTGCACCCCAACACCCATCCCTCCTCATCCCTTGTATTTCCTTCTCTTCTCCTGTTTTACCCAAGCACGTTCTCTCATCCACAGTCCCATCCCTCTTCTAGTTCATCTTAGTGCTTTTCTCTCCTCCCCTAGAAGACCTCGTTCTCCCTGTGGTTGCAGTGCCATCTATGTCATCTGGCTTGCCAAAGTAGTCTAACTCAGACTTTTCTCCTGAGCTCCAGGAACATGTATGCATCTGCCTACTGGATGGCTCCAGCCTGTTGTTCTTGGTCCCAACTGAAAGATTTTCACTCCTAAATAAGAAACCTTGCCTCTCCCTCTTCCTCACTGTCAACATACAGTCTGCACCAAAACTTATGCGTGCTTTTCAGGAGCCTTCTTGAATCAGGTGGCTCCTCTGCATCTCTACTGCTTTGTCTTTAATTCTAAGACTCATTATTTCTTGCATGAACACTGTTGCTAGGGTAATTTTTCTTTCAATCATGTTTTCTTGCTCTAAAATCTCTACTGACTCTATTTTTTTTTTTTGCCCTTGGGATGAAATTTATATCATTTCATTTTGCCCCAGCCTATTCTTGAATTTTATCTGTCCACCCAAACCACCACCCCATACACTGGACCCCTACAACAATGGGATTCTCCCAGATTCCACAATTACATGGTCCTTTGGAAATTGTTCTACTTGGAAACTTTGAATTGTATTCTCTTCCCTTTCTGTCTCACACCCTCAGCCAAATACATAGAAAAGCAAATGTGTATGTGCCCACATGCATACACACACAGAGGCATTTGTCTGGAAAATTCTATTCATGTAAAAGCAAGATTAGAATAAGAGAAGAACTTAGGGAAAAGTATATTATTCTGCAGATGCTGGTAATTAGTGGTTAATGGGATTTTAGTTGCAGGGGAATATGTGAGTAGAGAGAAGGCGGGAAATAGTTAATAATGTTTGTTAGCCAAGAGTCTCATTATCTTCATCCTTTCTCTGTTGAGCTGTTAGAAAATTTGCTTAAGCCTCCATGAATCATTTCCAGTTCTTCTCAAACACCTAATTGTCCAGGAATTTGGACGACTGGATGATTCTGTATCCCTGTCCCCTGTCATGTTACTTTCTCCTGGGATTGGTTGCCTGGTAACCCTGATCCAAGACCTGCCCTCCCTGCTCTCCTAGTTATTATGCTCTTTGTGTTCTCCAGTGATTGTCTCCTGCTGAGGTTTCCCACACTTTACATTTTATTTCTTTCTAAACCTGTAATATGTGAACATAAAGAAATAATTTTATTTTCTTAGACCCATATATAGAATATATTTTATGTAGAAACATTTACCATATATTTATTGGAAGAGGAAAATGTATGGGTTTGTCCACTTTCTGTTAAATGAACAGGTCTCTATCTTTGTTATGGTTTTATGTAAATTTGACATATAATGTGATTTTTCTCTGGGTGTCAGGAGTAAGAGTCAGGGTAGGCAGGTATCCCAGCAGTTAAGCCACCAGTGACCCACATCAGAGTGCCTGGATTCAATTCACAGCTCCAGCTCCTGACTCCACTTCCTGCCAGTGCAGACCCTGAGAGACAGCCAGTGATGGCTCAGGTGGTTGCCACCCACATGGGAGACCTGGATTGAATATCTGGCTCCTGGCTTTGGTCCCAACCCAGCCCCAGCCATCACAGGCATTTGGGAGGCGAGCCAACAGATGGGATCTCTCTCTCTCTCTCTCTCTCTCTCTCTCTCTTTCTCTGTCTCTCTCTCTCTCTCTCACACACACACACATACATACATAAAAAATAAAAATAAAAAGACTAAGACTCAATGTCACTTCACACATGAGTATTAGATCAAATAAACCTTAATAACAGAAAAAAGTAGACTTGGTAAAACAGTTTTTTCTCACACAGCAGTCCATGCCATAAGTTATTCTGCAGTTACATGCAGATGAAGAGTATCAATGCATATAATATCAGGTTGCACATAATACTCATGTGAAATGTAAAAACAAATTGTGTGTGTGCTAACATTGAGGGATTTTTTTAAGATTTATTTTTTATTTATGTGAAAGAGTTACAAAGAGAGAGGAAAAGACAGAGAGAGAAGTCTTCTATCCACTGGTTCACTCCCCAGATGGCCACAACGGCCAGGGCTGCACCAGGCTAATGCCAAAGTCCAGGAGCTCCTTCCAGGTTTCCCACATGGGTGCAGGGGCCTAAGCAATTGGGCCATCCTCCACTGCTTACCCAGGCATATTAGCAGAGAGCTGGATCAGAAGCGGAGCATCTGTGGAAGGCGGTTTAACCCACTGCACCACAATGCCAACCCCCATTTGGGGCTTTTAAAAATATATATGCTATATACAAACCTGAGAACTGCTTTGTGATTCATGGACAAATATGTCAAAGAAACAATTTGTCTCCTGGATTTTCATTTATTGAGTCTCTCAGCTGTTACTGTGTGCAGGGTGGGATGGGGTGGGGAGTGATGGGTACAGAATGGCCATGTAAACCAATACTGTAACACAAACTAAAAAGTGATGTCATAGGTGTTACAGGTTTACAGAAGGCGAACAATAAAGCTGCTGTGAAAGTGTGGGATGATGGGAGAAGGTTTCTATTCTCCACATATTTAAATCTGCATTTTAATATAAGATACACTTGTACACTTGCATAGCCTCAAAGATGAAACAAGTCATTCCGATTTTCTTCTGTAAATATTTTACCTCTCCTACCAGAATACTGTACTTAGCTATGAGAGTCTGTCAGATCTCAAAAGCAAGATTAGAAATTTCAATACCTGTGGTTATTTGAAACAGAATGGGAAGAAATTTGATTTCAATTCATAGTCAAAATTGAAATAAGTCAAATTTGAAATTAGAATAAATCCAAAATGGTATTTTGAAAAAAAAACAGTGTCTCCCTCTCTGTTTCTGTAACACTGCCTTTCAAATAAATAAATAAATCTTTAAAAAAAAAAACAAACAACTGGGGGCCAATGAAACAGCAAGTTAAGTCATAACCTGCAACGCTGGCATCCCATGTGGGTACCACTTCTATTCTGGGCTGCTCCAGTTCCAATCCAGCTCCCTTCAAATGCACCTGGGAAAGCAGAAGAGGATGGTCCAAGTACTTGGGCCCTTGCCACCAACATGGGAGACCCAAATGAAGCTCCTGCCCCCTGGTTTCCATCTGGCCCAGCCCTGTCCATTGAGGCTATTTGGGGAGTGAATCAGCAAATGGAAAATCTCTCCCTCTTTCTCTGTAACTCTGCCTTTCAAAGAAATAAATAAATATTTTGGCCGGCGCCGTGGCTCAATAGGCTAATCCTCCGCTGTGGCGCCGGCACCCCGGGTTCTAGTCCCGGTTGGGGTGCCAGGTACTAGTCCTGTTGCTCCTCTTCCAGTCCAGCTCTCTGCTGTGGCCCGGGAGTGCAGTGGAGGATGGCCCAAATGCTTGGGTCCCTGCACCCACATGGGAGACCAGAAGGAAGCACCTGGCTCCTGTCTTTGCCTCTGCACAGCGCCAGCTGTGGCGGCCATTAGGGGAGTGAACCAACAGAAGGAAGACCTTTCTCTCTGTCTCTCTCTCACTGTCTATAACTCTCTCTGTCTTTCTCTGTCACTGTCTAACTCTGCCTGTCAAAAAAATTAAAATTAAAAATAA